GGATGCGCATGGCAGCCGTAAAAAATAGTTTAAGGTATATTGCTTATTTAAGGTGTATTGGGTTCTCTGGGAACTTCTGGGCTGAGGTTCGAATCAACCTTACCTGGCGCTGGGCCTTGAACTTAAGACTTCTTAAGACTTCGGGAGCTGAGGGGGTGGCTCAATGTCCCGGGAGCCCCCAGCCTTAAGGTACTGGTTCACGACCGTGGCTGTCTACAGCGCGCCGGCCTTGGCCCCTGAGCCCCGAAAGTGCAAGAAACACGAGAGAGGTTTAGGGTTTAGGGTTTAGGGGCCCGTGCTCAAAAGGGTTTAGGGTTTAGGGAGAGAGAGAGAGAGGACCCATCCCCATGCCCTGGAGAGAGAGAGAGAGAGATCCAAGGCGGCAATGGCCGCGCAGCCAGCGAACCAGTTCGTGTGCCGCGCAAGGCCCAAAGAATCTGGACATGAGCGGATATTATAGTATATCATAGTCTATGATAGGATAGTATATTATAGTACATTATGGCATATTATATTGTATTATATTATAAGGCCCACCGTTCGGTTTCAGCATGCTTCGAACAGGCAGCAGACGAGACGAAGAAGGCCGGTTCCTCGTGGACCAGTGGGGGTCGAAGGGAAACCATGTGTGCAGAGACTCCAATACCCCTTAATTAAGGAATATACCTTAAATTATACAGTAGTAGGATCCCTAATAAGATTTAAGGTTTTTTCCCTTAACTAAGTGGTATTGGAGTCTCTGGGTGTGCAGGCAGCTACGCAAGCGGCTGCCTTGTCGACAGCAGCGGCTTCAGACATTTCAGATTCTTGCATGCCGAAACCCTAAACCCTAAACCCTAAACCCTGAACCCTAAACACTAAACCCTAAACCCTAAACCCTAGCCTGTTGTTGGGGGATGGCCGCAGCTAAAGGGTCGGTGGTTTGATGGCAGCGGGTAAGATGAAAAGGAGTTTGCTGTAGCTCAAGTTGGACCACCGTCGACGATAGCGGTATATTATGGTATATTGTACCGGTTTGATCTTCAGATGGAGATGTTGGCATCGCTTGGTCTGTAGAACAATCAGAATGTATCAAGACGTGCTGCAAGCAGGTTGTTGTGTGCCTGAAAGCCTCCTCAGGCCGCAGCTGTGCAAAGCAGAGCGATGCAGGCACCGCCACTGAGCACCGCACAGCGGCAGAGCTACCAGAACTTGTCAGAAGCAGGTGGCGGCGGCTTCTGCTGCCGCTCGGAGTTGGCAGTTCACAGTAAACTTTCGAGTTGCAGTGTCGGGCGAGCAGCAGACGTGGTGAAACGTGGCAGCAAGGCCTCAGCGAAGCTTTCGCGGGCCTCCTCTGTCCGGATCTGAGCGGGAGGTCGTGCTCCCGAGTGCCTCCACATAATTTCCCGAAGGCTGCAGCGGTGCAGCACTCTGGTGCGCAACTTACCAGGACAAGCAGGATCAAAAAGCTGTCGTTGTGCCAGGAGGTCTTTACAGGAGATGTGTTGTGGGTGATTGTCACTGAGGCCGAGACGGCGGACGCGCTACACCAGTGCTGAGACCGCAGAGCCCAGGCGCCGAGTCAGGGCATGCGGGTGCAAGATAGAGAGAGAGAGAGAGAGCTGTGTTCTTGTTTTGCACAACAAGTGGTCCTGAAGGATATGCCGACAACTGCCCCCCAACAGCAAAGGTTCGATGATGCTGTTTGTGTGATCTTCATGTAACTGCTACGTAGTGTCCCGGGGGATAAGAAACAGCCCATCTTACTGGGGGGAACCACCCGCGTGAACACCCTTGGAGCTAAATCGATGCCTCGTACGTATGTTACTCCTTTAGGTGTGTAGGATTGCTGTGCCGTTGTTTGCAGTACGCAAAGGTTCCGGGGGAAACACGTCACGCATGGCCTTTGTCTGAGAGTCGCATCCAATGCATGTTTCGTTAGCTCAGTTGTTGATTGACCTTTGTGCTTGCACTGTCTGGGCCTCAGTTTGTTTGCAGCCTGCGACCTCTCAGCGTGGACAAAGAACGTTTCTGGGGGAAAATCCTCCGTAATATCGAAAGTCGTAATGACTCTCGGGGGAAGAGTGCTAATAGAGTGAATCCTCCGGATCCTGTTCTGAGTTCAGTGAGGTGCGAGGGTTTCCAGGTCGGGGGATTCAACATTGGCACTCTGCATGTGTCCTGGAGAGCATACAATCACCTTGCAACGTTATCGTACACTTTACGGCCTTAGCCTTCCAGGTGATTTATGCTCGTGCTTCACTCCCTTGCGCCCAACTAATAATGTTGGGTGGGCATGATGCCCGGGGGATTTGACCGTCCCCCATGCCCAGGAGAGAGAGAGAGAGAGACAGACCCCAAAGCCATCCACTCAATGGCTTGAGTGGTTGGGCGGGCCGATGGCCTGAGGGTCGGGGACAGCGACCCCTAAGCCCAGCAGAAAGAAAGAAAGAGAGAGACACACAGGCCGCACAACAGGGGCGCACCTCTCGGTGCGGGGGTCATTAACAGCTCCCTGAACCCCGGAGTGAAGTGAAGTGAAGAGTTAGCGCGCACAAGAGACACAGCGGCCTGCCATGGCCCAGCGAAGAGGTTCTGCATGATCTTTGTGACGTCATGACATCGCTTATGCAAGCGTCCAGAATACAGCCTCTGAAGTTCACACAGAGTTTAAGTCGCGGTTGTTGGTCCTTTTGTACCCGCAAGACGCATCTCGTGCGATCATCGCTTGAATCATGCATCATCATGCATCTCATCTCGTATAGACTATAGGTGCATCTTTTGTGTGACCGGCAGGAGCTTCAAGGGTCCGGGCCTCAGCTGAGGCTGAGAGGGATTCCGATCGTCACATGCAATGTGCCTTTTGTTCTCTCTGCTCTGGGTGTAGGTTCAGGGTGATCGAGCTGAACGAGACAGGCCGCAGCAAGTTGGGAAGTGTCAGCACGTGGTCCAGTTTCACGATCGCCTTGTGAAAATGTTCTTGAGGGTCGCGAGGGCTTCTCACGCCTCATCTGCTCATGACCAGGGCCGCGCAACCCCAAGCCAAGCTGCTACGGTTGCCAGAGGCGTCTGCACTTCCTGGACACTGGTCGTTGCAGGATCGGGGGTTGCACTGCGCGGTCAGGACTTGCCAACTTCAGGGCAAGGCGGCGTTCCAGAGTTTTCCGAGATTATGGACAAGGTCTGCAGCCCAGCCGTTCATCCAGCGCATACTTCTGTGACAGCTCTGGTTTTGGAAAGCATCGACGGTCCAGGCGCGCCGGCTGATGGGGCCTGAGCCAACCGATGGTCCAGACCTCAGTCTTCGGAGATGGAGGTGCCCGGGGGTGCCCGTGTTAGGGTACATGGCAGACGGCCTGATACCGCGGAGGTTCTTCGCAGAGGCACCGGGCAACTTCGCATGGCTCTCGGCAGCGCTTGGGGCAACCGGTGGTAAGCACTTCGAGCACAGGTCGACGGCCTCAGATCTACGTGGCAGCGGGGTGCGGAGCTTGGGGTCCAGTGGTGCTCGGGACTTTCTTGTCACACTGAATCGAGCGAGGCCCGTGACAGAAGGGTTGACCAGCAGGAAAGGGGCCGTTCCAACATGGAGCAGGCTGGGCTTTGCCTTAGGCATACATCTGCATTCATTTGTGAGGGGATCTGCTTCTCTGCTTTGCGCGTGGATCTCGGATTCATGTAGCCGCCGGTTCGGCACCAGGAAAGTTTGCAGTTTCCAATTCGACCAGCCAGACAGACCTGCAAGTAAGCACTCCAACATCAGTTGGTCGTCACGAAGGTAACAACACGAGTAGGTCTTTCTCTTTCATGCTCACGGGATGATTGGCCTGGTCTTCAGTACTATTTAGCAGCATCACCATTCCCTGTAAGATTATTTTTTCTGACGGGGCATCCTCCCTATGAGAAGGCTCATGGGTGAGTAGCAAGTGGCATTAACAGTCTAGTGGCAGACAGAGGCGAAGGAGAAGGGCCATTTACCGCCGGCGGCGAGCAGCAGCAGCTGTAGTAAGCAGCAAGCAATGATGCCCCCAAGTTTCTGAATAAGAACGAGTAGCATGGTCCTTGGATCCTGATGCGCACCCTGCGCGGTCCTACATGGGATTTATTTGCCCGGGTTCACCTCGCAACCTATGGTGGGGGGAGGTGTCCCTCTGCGAGCTGGTACTCGTCTAAGGCGCTCGATGTTTTGGCAAGCCGCTTTGGCAAGCACCGAAAAGCCTTTGAAGACGAGATTCTGCTTTCAGACTATTTGGGAAGTGGTGTCGCGATTGGCGACCAGAAGAGCTCTAGCCGAAAGCGGCAGCCAGTTAACCCGCAGCAGGTGCCTGGGAGAAGAGCTGACCTTGCTAACCCCAGCTGGGGGACTTCAACGGAGACGGACGTGGAAGAGAACGTTCGTGAACGAGCTGCCGTCCAAGCTGGGCTACGCGTCGGCAAGGTAGTCTCTCCGCCTCGGTCTCAAAGAAAAGACAGACGACCAGTACCAGCTCGTTTGGCAAGGCGTGCAAATGAAGGCGTGCTGGAAATGGTGGATGCGATGTCTGCTGCGTACTGTTCTTCGCTCCAGCTGGGTGTCGCCAATGATGGCGAGACAGCATTGGGTTTGTCCGATAGCTTGCCTGGGACCGAAGTCACCGCAGCAGAAGGTTCCGGTGCAAAGGAGCCGGTGCGACTGCGAGTCCTACCTTGGCACCGGCAGGAGATGTGTCGGATGGTGTGCCGACAAATCCTCTTCAACTGCTTGCAGGCTCTTCGCATCTTGCAGCACAAGCGCAGCGACCAGAATCCCATGTGGGAATTCGAGCAGCACCGAGCGAAGTTGCATGTGGAGTCCGCGCGGATTGTTGCGCTGGTAGATTATCTGGCGAGGCTGCATTTTCAAGTTCAGCATGGCCCAATGCGTAAGAAGTACAGACCTGGAGCCCCACTCGACATGAACATCACCCGCCTCAAGGAGATAATGCTGGAGGAGAGGCGAGACATGTCTGCGTCGTTTAACGCAGTGATGGGTAGAAGGGTTTCTGAAGATAGGTTTATTCGTCACTTTCTGGATGGCGACATATCGTGGGCAACTGTCACAAAGCTACTGGGAGGTCGAAAAGGCAGTTTCACTCATAAGGCCAGCTAAGTGCGACTTTTCTGCGCTTGCCAAATATGGCATGTGCGCTACGTTCACCCGAGATTTTCATGCTGTTGCTGCATCCGCATAAGTGCCATACCGAGCAGCAAGCCACACAAAACAGCCCCTCGTCCGAATGCAAGCTGGTCAGAGGGACAAGGTTACTGTATGCTTTGGCATGAAGTCACCGTTCGGTACAAGCCATCAAGCGGCTGTATGCTAACAACCCATCACTTGCGGAACTGGGGAATGGCGAAGCCATGAAGTTGAATGCCATCCGATATGAAATCACAACATTCAGGCATGGATAGACCTTCTGGTTTGGCAGCCCATCGACAATACATTGACATGCAGAGCCCGCCCCACCCACCGCAGGCCGCTGATGTGGGCACTTCTTCTGCAGGCTCGCGGCCTGGACGGGCCTTGTACTATAGGGGCCTTAACTAATACTTCGCCTGTCCGAGTGTGAGTGTCAAAAAAAATTCGAATAGGGTTTTGGGCGTTCATTATACTATAGCTATACGCAGGAACCCTCAAAATAGTATTGGTAATTGTTTAGGCCCCAAGCATTAGTCGAGTCTGAACACTAGTCAACAAGTGCTGGGTTCAGTCCCCTCAGAGTAGGATCACCTGTGCAGGCCGTGACCCGGGATTGTCCAACAATCTCGCAGGTGCCCGAGGTGGGCAGGGTAGGAGTATGAACCTGGGAAGATAGAAATACAGCATGATTCAACACAAGCCCGCTTGGCAGATGTGGTTCCCTCTTCAGATGCACGGCTCCCAGAACTGGAAATCGGACCGGGCACATATCATGTCACGTGCAGATGTCCGTCTGTCTGGCAGAATCTGGTGCTTGCACGTGGGCTTGGCGGGTTGCATTTTGCTTTGTTTTGTCTCCATGTGCCTTGGTTGAGCGGACGGAGAACTGCTGCTCAGATGCTGTCGCGACAGTTCGCGGACGTACGTGGATCATGTGGAGTTTCTTGCTCACGGGTTTGTTCGCGGTTGAAGTCCTTTGGGAAGAAACTCTGCTTGGGGGACTCTTGCCAGCAACATGAGATTGCAGGCCCGCCGTGATGAGGATGGGCGCGACGAGCACCTGCCTGACCTTCCAGATTTGATAGTCGAGGCAACCATGGTCTAATGACACTGAGGCATACTCGGAGTCGTCGGCAAGTCTCCTTGAAGGAGGTGGGCCTGAGCATGCATCCGCAATGACCGCCAGCATGCCTTGCTTCGCGCGAAGGCAGACCAAGCTGGCAGAGGACGTCGCCAAAGCACGAGTCTCATCACCACGAGCTTGATTAGGCCGAAAGCCTTACCGGCCTTTAACCCGAAACCCTTCAAACTTCAATCCGAACGCCTCGCCATAGCCCAAGCGCCAAACCTCAACCGTCAGGAATCCAACTGCGAAAGGTAGGGGTGTGTGGCTATTCCGGCCTCGGCTTCAGGGCAAAAGACTAGTAGCAGCCCCACCCCTGCACCTGCGAAATGCCAGGAAGTGGTTGCGTAGACACCGGAGTTACCTTTTGATTATAGTGCACTACAGTAGCCCGAAACCGTAAAAATCAACATGTGCCATTTTCGCACTTAGGTGGAGCACCTGCTGCAAATGCACTCGATGAGGAAATCTACAGCAAGGTTCAGTACCTGGCCGTCTCTGGCACACGTCACGTGCAAACTCAGTGCTGAGACAGGCTTTGAAGCTCATGGGCCCAGACGCGGTACAGAGACCAGTTGCCCTTGCTAGAGAGCCAGGGACTTGACGTCCTGAAGCGAGACTCGAGGGCGCCCGCGTGTGCACACGTATGCAGCTCTACGGTATGGAGTTATTATTTCAGGGTAGTGACAGTGGGGGTGACTATGCGTGTCATTCTTAATGCATCTGCAGGCTGCTTCCTCAATTCAAAGAGTAGTCGCGGTAGTGGTCATACTCGCGCTTGTCCTAGCTCTTGCGTTTGCGAGGCTCCTATTCAACAACTACAACCACAAACACTTCCGCTGCCACGGCCACTCTGCCCCTACTGCCACCTGTGGTCCACCACCACCACCACCACCACCACCACCACCACCACTACTAGTACTGCTACTACTGCTACTGCTGCTGCTGCTGCTGCTGCTGCTGCTGCTGCTGCTGCTACTGCTACTGCTTCTGCTTCTGCTTCTGCTTCTGCTTCTGCTACTATACTACTACTACTACTACTACTACTACTACTACTACTACTACTGTCGTCGACGTGCCAAGTGGGTGACAAAACTACTACTACTACTACCACCACCACTACCACTACCACTACCACTACCACTACCACTA